TAGTAGGATTATTCTTGAAATGTACTTTTCCTACGTAACTTTACTTAATATTTAATAACATTCATTTTGTCAGTGTAACGAAAGAGAATAATATCTTATTACGCTTTAAAATGCACCTTTTGAAATTATTCAAAATACTTATAAACAAAAATATTAAAATCCTGACTGCATCTTACGTTTAGCACCTTTATCGTACAATTTGAAAACCCCCAATACAACTACGATGTATTAACATAAAACAATACTTAAAATTCCCGCCGCTCCCTTTCTTAAACTTTATTAGAAGATATCTCTAAGATAACTCAGTGAAATATAAATAAAATGACAATAGAATAATTACCCGAACAAAGCGAGATTCGCCTCACAGCAACCCTTTATATCGTTCCTGTTTTCCAACAAGACACAATGTCACTTCCTTGCTTAAGAAATCGTTACGGAACTTTGACCTTTAAAGAGACAGGACTTGAAAAGCGCGCGCATTCCGTATTAAGTAAAAACGAACAATACGTTCAAAATGTGAGTTCTTTTGTGCTCATTTTGTGTGTGTAAATTTTGAAGTCAAAATGCATTCATAAAGACGATTCTATTTTCCGTATCAGTAGCTTCACACGAGTGCGTATCGTATTTATCGCAGCTAACACGAAAAGTTGCAGAATTAATCGAGTATATGCCTAGTCCGTTTCTGTATACTCAAAGGTTCGGAGTATCGAAGGGGTAAGCTGAAACACAAGGCATTCTGTGTGCATAGTTTGGAAATCTTTAATGGAATTCATATAATAAGAGATTTTAAAATACTACTTTAAGGTCTACTTCCGCTTGTGCTATTTGGAGAAGTTAATATTAAGATTATAAATATAAATTATAAGCAATTGATACTGCATTAGATACAAAATTATTCTTTTAAGACAATCAGTTAATACGTTAGTAGGCTCCCTTAGTGCCTAAATCTACACTAAGGAAGACCACATCACTCTACAGTAAATAATTGAAATATACGTTATCATTTGTACAGTCAGCTGCATAAATATGTAAACACTTACATAACTACAGAAACTTATCAACGCCTTTGGTTTCAAAAATACGTAAAGAAATCACAATAGTAAGTATTTATAATTGGAAGTAAGTATAATTTGTTACCGAATTTGTATACAAGGTTCTAAAGCTTTGTGTGTGTATACATATTTATGAAACTGACTGTACAAATCAAAACAGATCTGTGTACAGGCAAGAGATATTTGTGCTTGTACCGCGTCTCCCTGTGATGTAGTATTCAATGCGTCTGAATGGCGTCTATTAGGGCGTGTGTACACTGACCGGAGACGTTTCTTTCAATGCTCTGACCGGCGCACACTCAATAGGACATCATTACCTGCGAACTTAGCTCGTGCTGCCTTCACATTGATTATATTTCACTTTTATTAATAAACTTTTCCTTTAACTTTTTATTTATTGAACGAGAAATGTTAAAATAAGTACTTGGGTGTGTTTTGGTAACGAATGCAACATTAATATTTTTAATTACTTGTTTAAAAAGTAAGATAAATAAATATGATAGAACACATTATTTTTTATGAGTGTTTCTGGAGTACATTCAGAAAAAGCTAGCACTAAAATTGCCAAGATACGGGTATTGTAGCAAGTACCATAAGTTGTGATTCGAGTTACTTGCCTGTGTAAACGCGGCACATAGAATCGCTCTCAGTCAACATTTGTCGAGCCGAATGACCACTGAATGACCAACATCACAGCGTCTCACAACGCTACAGTCGGCGACAAACGTCTTTGTGGCCAGTCAACATTCGAATACTTTAAAAGTAAAACAAACAATGTTTGATTAATACGATTGTCTTTTGTTCAATGAAATTTTCTTAATTGTATTTCTTTAGTAATACGTCCTCTTTTGTTATTTGTGGCTTACATGATAGTTGAAGTTCTAAGATAATGCTTAAGTTTATGTCCTTCTATCAAAGTACTCGACTATCTCTATTTAGATTTGTATTTGTCTTCCATTGTCGATCGCAATACGCGACCACCCCGTCATTACTGCTTGTAACATGAGCTCATCATAGCTCTGTTTGAATGCTGTGTTGACACAAACTTACGGCCCTCCTTATTGAACAAGTTGGCAACTACATCTCATATTACATGTCAGATTTGCGGTCACAACTATTTATAATCTCTTAGCAGTTGGACTGATGAACTCATAGTGGATTAGACTAAGGGTTGCCGTAGACGGAGAAAGCAATCAAGCATTTTTATCTGCGGCAGCAAACTACAGGCTTTGTATGGGGAAATTCAAGTGCTATGGAACAATTTAATACGGAACAGCCGACTCCTGAAAACAGTTCGTGTACTGCCGGCTTTAAAAAAAAACTTCGCCTGTCATTTGTCTTTTATAACATTACTATAAAGATTGATTACAACTATACATATAATCTGTTTTATATGTTTTATTTATTTTTAATTACAGTTCACAAAGTAGAGTATACGAGAAAATGAGCTTTGAAATGGTATGATTTTGGTGTATCAAGCAGCCTTTAGAAATTCAGTATCAGGTTAGACAAACATGACAGCGAGCGTATCGCTTACATCCAGCAAACATTGCCTTTGAAGCTTTATAGCTTACAGCTTACACAATATTTAGCAAAGCTATATATCAAACATTCGTACTTTTCTACTAACGCCCTTTAATGTCTATAAAAAAAATCACACTTTAATAAATATAATCACCTTTGTTGTATAACAAATTAATGGTTGGTGCATTATTTTGACTAGCTGTCGCCCCCGACTACGTCTGCGCTGAATAAAAAACAATTAATTAGTAGCCTATTTCAGCGAGATCTATCTGTCTATACCTTCTAATATCCATCCATCTAAACTTTCGTATTTATAATATTAGTAAGATTATGTTATAATTGTAGCACAATTAAACTAGTAACGAAGACAAATACATTGTCGTTTTTATTCATTATGTGGATGTATTCTGTTAACACGTTAGCTGCCAAAGTGATTTTTCGAAAAACGAAATTTTTTATTTTTTATTTTGTCCAAAACCATTTGAAAACACCTAAAAATATAGTAGTATTTACATATAAATGGAAGTATGGCTTGTCGGACACAGTCTGACACGGCCCGATTGAAACATTAGCTTGTCGGACATATAATCCGACATGGCAGCTAACGTGTTAAAGGAAAGAATTTCAAAGAATACTAAGAATATATACCTTTAACTTTTATATAAGCTAATTAAATAGTCAAAGTTTCACAATGTAAATCGTTTTAGAACAGCTGATAAATGGCAAACTCAAACACACACAAGTTTAACGTACGAATTGATTAGAGCAAATCAAATAGCCCTTCGCAGCCACACACTACTAGAGCTGACGGAAATCTTTGCGTTCACTTTGTAGGGTGACCATTAATACTGACATCGACATAATCCTGTAGGAAAAAAATTACAATAACATAAATTGATTTTCAAGATTATTTGTATAAAATATTAAAACTTGTGGCCCTGTTGGGCGTAAATACAACAAAAATCTTATACTAATTTTGACATAATTGACGATGACGATATGATGGCGATTGTCACAAATATTCGTGATAGGCCCCACAGGTTTTAAACCACAAACTGGTGAAAGACAAAATATAGTTATGTAAGAATAGAAAATTACACACCAAGATTACATAACAAGACGTCTTTTATTTAACTTTTGCTCTCCAAGTTAGATAAATGTATCACACTCTGCTTTTGTATTATATCATAATTATAAATTTGTAATTTCAAACATTCAAACTAAAAGTATTTAAATATTGAAAAATAAATACTTCCACAAATAAACAAAATTATTGTCACCTAAAACTTGAACATCTCAAGTCTGTACGGGAAGTGTTTGCTATTCAAGTTACTGACCTGTATTGACCGTGCGGCCTCGGCACGTGTTTAACTGAACAGTTTGCCAGTTATTAGCGTACAAACATGTTCTAATTGATATTTGCAGAGGTTACGCCGAGGTGTGGAATTATACGGGAGGATAGGACTTCGACCAACAATTGTCTACAGTATGTTATGTCTTTGCTAACTTGAATCAGAGTTTAAACATATAGGTTCATGGTATGTGAAACAAAATAAGAGTGTAATGTAAAGAGATAACCTAAACAAAGAACTACAATTTCCATAAGCAGAGGCGCAACTAGTATTGGATATTTTTTTCTCTTTCTTTTAAATTGTTGCTTAGTTTGCTACTTCAAACATAATACGTCTGCAGTTGTTGGTCTCTACCTACTATTTTAAATGTAAAATTACAAAATAATGAAAAGACGTTTTACAATTGTGTTATTAATGCAGAGAGATATAACATCTTTTTTTAATATTTAGTATCATTTACGACAATTTATCACCACCCTAATCCAAACTCAACAAAACTCCACCTCTGCGTTTCATAAAAATTGACCGTCAATCATAAAAAAGTTATCGGTATAATTTTATCGAATAATTGAAATCGCGATCTAAATGAAAATATTAACAACAAAAACCTTTTCGGTTAATGAAAGAGCTCGCACTAATCATTCGCCGTTAGCCGACAGCCGACAGCCGACAGCCGGAGCGGATACAAATCGCCGGCCGGCATACGATCCAGCTCTACCACTCTATCAGAATCATTAAAAATAACGCGTCGAGGACACTCGCCACGGCATTCGATGGATACGCCCAAATTTCCATCAAACATATGACTGCGCACAATGCACAAGCGATAGCGGACTACGTCTAAAACTAGATGTTTGTAATTCTATACAAGTATTACATGTTTTTCTAGGTAAAATAACCTAAGTAAGTCTAACCATAGTAAGATATGTAATTCTACAAAAGATTTATGCATACATAGAGCTTAATTGTTTTGAAAACGAACCAAGTCAGACCTCAAAGATCAGCTAAATCTTGTGCCAGATTGTCGACGAATTGAGTTTTGAATTACTCTAAAGAAGATGCCGTTTGTAACATCTGATAATAATAAGTGTCTCAGTACAGAGGATATTTAATGATCAAATAGTAGGTAGATTAATATAACAGGTTCGTAATGTCTTTACAAATAAATCAGTCCACCCGTTGACCCCGCCTTTTATTGACGTTCCTTACACTGGCGACGAGGCGAATACCGCGCGATATAAAAAAAAAAAAGTTAAACACTTGTAAACATGTCGATCGGAAAATTGGAGCCGTTTGATTTAGGCAGCAAACAGTGGCCGGCGTATGTCCGTAGGGTTCAACAATTTATAATACTGAACGAGATCAAGTCGCAGTTACGAGTGTCGCTGCTCATAACGGTCGTCGGTGACGCAACATATTCGCTGATGTGCGATCTGTGTTCGCCGGCGCTCCCGGAGGAGAAGACATTTGACGAGCTTGTACGTTTGGTGTCGGAACATTTGGAACCGCAACGTTCGGAAATAGCAGAGCGCCATGTATTCAGACTGCGTAGACAAGAGGTCGGTGAATCGCTAGCTGACTATTTAAAAGCGCTTAAACATTTGGCAACGACCTGTAATTTCCGCGAGGCTCTGGAAGAAAACTTGAGAGACCAATTTGTGTCCGGACTCGCTAGCGAAGCGATGCGCTCGAGGATTTTTGCTGAAAGGAGCATCCGATATAAAGAGGCGGTGGAGCTGGCGTTTGCGCTAGAGGCTGCGGAGAGGCACGCGGGGGTAAGCGCCGTCACGGGCGCGACGGCAACCTCAGGTGCGGGCAGCGGTGGAGAGGCGGCGGTCGACGGCATGCATAGGGTTAGCGCACAACGTGGCAGGGGACGAGGTGCAAAGGTCGGCGGCGGCGCAGGGGTGTGCGGGTGCAGCGCCGGCGGTGCGGAGCGAGCGGACGGCGCGGACGCGGGCGCGGGTGGCGGCTTGCGGGAGTTGGGCGGTGCCGAGCGCTGTTGGCGCTGTGGGAAGCCGCACCGAGCGGACCGATGTAGGTTCGCGCAATATAATTGTGATGAGTGCGGTAGGCGCGGGCATATAAAAGTAATGTGCAAAGAACTGCGTGAGCGTGGCCGTTTGAATGGCAGCCGCCAAAACTTCGTTAGTGATGTAAGCTCGGACGAAGATTTTTTTAATATTAATGTAATGTCTGAAGATGACGATTCTTTTATATTACCGTTGAATGTA